AAAATTGTACAGCATTTCTATATGTATATACTATATATATATATATATACGTATATATACATATATACTGTTAATAAACCTGTCTATGCAGACGAATTAGAGCTTTTTCAGTAGGTGTATCCGTTGGAGTATCATCGGGCAATTGTCTTCTGTTCATTCTATCCTTCAATTCTGCGGGTATCTTCTGAAAGATTGTTTCCAGATTGCAATGGAATGGATGACCAGGCCCAATGGATATTGTTGCTACCTGCAGTGACTAAATGGCATTTGTTATTCATTATAGTATTTTTCAATTCTTACAAATATAAATATATTAACATCTTTATTTTGTACCTCGAGAATGTCGTCCACCGTCTCTTCCGCTTCGCACTTGTCTAAACTTAATTTCGCTACCTTGAAATAGCTATAATTTAAAGTATATCCAGGCTTGCTGGCGTTCCATAATCCTCGAGGTACTTCTACAAGAGCATAACCGAGCAATAAGACTAACAAGAATAAACCCCATGTATTGGACGCAGATGACGCTATGGCTTTCAATTTTTGCCTATAAAATAGTAAACATAATTGTTTATTTCTATACGCATTAGTAACATTTTAAGACTTATATTCAACTTATATTATAACTTCAACTTATATTATAACACTTTAATGAAACTCACCCATCGAGATCTAAGCCAGGCTTTAGCGCAATATAGATCAAGAGTATACCACATATAAACAAGTAACTACCATAGTATATAGCGTTATCTATTAAAGCGGATTTTAACTTCCCGCGTATGGTAAAATCTCCTGCTTTTATGTAAGACTGCATCAATGGGAGTATCAACCATGTCAGGCATTGTGATGTCCAGTAAACTATCCTCCATAGATTTGGAAATACATTCTCTGGCACATTAGGCCAAGGTTCTTTACATGTGATAAATGGTGCAGAGGTTGTGTTATTGTTATCTTTAGTGCTGTTGTGTATATTCTGTTCTACGCATTGTCTGAATACGGTCTGTAAACGAAAATATTCTTTTATTTATTTTATTTTTCTATAAAGTAAAACAGAAAGATATATAATCAAAAATGGATACTTTTCATTTAGTAAAAAATAGACACAAAATCGACCCAAATAAAATCAAT